AACATTATAAAAAACAACCTCACTATAATCTCAAGACTTGTAATGCAATTCTGTCATGACCCAAAACCACGTGACCGGCACCCGGCACACTACCCGATCCGAGCGAACCAAACCATGTGATACACCCAAATTATATGTATGAAAAGCAATTTCACTGCGGAAGCTCCTTGAAAATCATATACATTTTCAAGTTAAATGATAAAATATTTTCAATTCAAAATCACCCATGATGCCTTTCATGATAATAACAATGAGACTAAGTAAAATAAATATATTTTCATATATGTCGTGTACAACCCCGTTACTATAACTTTTCACAACTATCTATGAAGCCTCTATACCAAAGAATAGAATTAAACACTTGGGCTAATACCCAACTAGCATAAATTAAGAAAATAACATGATAGCTACCACAGAAATAATAGTGGTGCCTCACCATATACCTCAGGAAGAGAGTCATCCTAGCCCTGACCGCATGCCACGTATCATACCTCAATCTGAAACATGTAAAGTAAGCAGGCCCCCCTAAGGGCTGAGTACGCTATAACTGTACTCAATAAGTGTCATAGACTCTCTCTAACTTAAGTTCTTGGGACAAACTTTATAAACATAATGCACCAATATTTGATATAAAACGATAAGAAATTTTTATCAATTCATGATACTTGTCATTTTAAATAAAAGCCAAGTGAAATATAACCCATAATATAAACTTTTAAAATATTTATATCAACCCAAGATTTTTGGATAAAATCACACAAAATCATTTCCATTTGTTTTAAGTCATTGAAATAACTTTCGTCTCCTTAGGCCTAAACATAAGAAAATCATCCTTACCTTTCACCGGGAGTACTATACCATCACCGACATAATAAGGTCAACTAGGTTATGTACCTAACGGCAAGTATCATATAACCTACTTGCTCAGGTCATCTCATCGTAGTGCCGTACGAATCGACTCAGTGCTAATAATGGCACAAAATAAGACCCTCTCGAAGGAGAGCACTCTGCCGTAGTCTATATCACAAAGTGGCCATCTACGCCTACACTGACACGTGTAGTTTCATGACGACGAATACAATATATCCGAAGCCAATCTCGGTGAACACAAGTAACTCCCAAAATATTTGATACTTCAAAAATATATTCATAGCAGTGTAGTCTCAAAGGATCTATTTTTATCAAATCATAACATTAATAAAAAAATCTAAAACATTTGAACAAAAATTAAATAAACAAACTTTTACATGTTAAAGCCTTTAGCAATTTAACATCAATCTTTAAACGATACCACAAATGCTATTCTGCTCATCAATTTCCAAAAGGAATGCTTTTCATGAAGACTTATCTTTAGCACTCAAATATGTATACTCTTTTAAATACGAAAGTTTTGATAAAAACTTATAACATTTACCTTGAGTGTCATTTTGCCAACAAGATTTAAATAAAATTTTATAAAACAGCATGATACTACATATGCAATATAATATTTTTGTACATGGAGACATACGTACTTGTTTGTCCCCACAAGCACGAAAGCACATTTGCAAACAACTTAAGTATTAACTCGAAACATGTTTTTAGAGAAAGTCCAAGTAGAGTAAGTTTTAATCAACTTACCTCGCTTTCGCTTTATTAATATTCACAAGCTTTCAATCCTCTTCCATCATTTCAATATTGAATAAAATGCTCAAACATCACCAACAAGTCGATATCTACAACTAGATATCCTAATTACATCAAAATATGACCTAAGATATTGATCAATATCCATATATGGCTCATAAGTTGGCTACAAGCCTCCAACAACTCAAATCGTCAAATAGATTTACATGCTAGACCATTCAACTTCATTCTTATATTTTAATACCCATTCGAAGTCATTAATGATACGACATCAATTGTCCAATGCAACCAAGTTACTATTCATCATCTTCCATAATCAACACTTACAAAATATTCAATTCGGGTGATTACGTAGTTGATCACTTCCAACTTTTCCTAACAAATAATTCCATAGGTTCATTGTATTCATCAATTTCATCGCCAAGATTACTATTCATCTTCTCTCTTATTTTCTCAAAAGTACTATTCATGCCACGAACTAGAGTTTTATAATCTAATCTTTCAACCATTAAAACTTGTAACAAATGGTTCAAATACTTCTAACTACTCATAATAAATGAGTTTGAAGCATTGGAATTACCTCTAGTAGATCAATCTCGAAAAATTACAACTTTGGTGATTTTTATGTTCTTGAGGATTTGATGATGAAATCTAGTTTTTGGATGCAAGAATTATGTTAGAACTCATGTATATTAAGTAAGAATTAAGCCAAAACATCATTAACAACTTATCTTAGTTTATTGGACTTGATTTGAGCTTAAAATCGCCTCTTCACCTCAAGAACTCTAACCCCCAATACTCAAAATACTCTCTTCCCCCGATTTTGTATTTATAGGTCCAGATTTCTGGGTTTTGGAACGGCCCCGGATGCTTCGCATCTCCAGTTCACTCCTCTTCGAAGCTCGGACGCGGACCCAGATGCTATGGCAGTACTTCACTGCCAGCTTTTGATATTTTGATCATAACTTCTTGTAGGAGTATCCAAATGACAAATGGTTTGAAGCATTAGAAACTATACTCGAAGATCTTTCATTTGATTGGTTTTCCATTACATAAATCTTTATATATGTGTATATATGCTCGTCAAAAGTTAGGTCTTGTGCATACTCATTTGGAACTTTAGTCTATCATGTAATTTCCAACTTGACTTAGACTTAGGGCTCTCCTTAGACCCCACATCACTTATAATATGCCTTGTACACTTATTATCATATCTAATTAATATCCATCATATTAATAGCCCTCGTCTACACACAAAATAATATAATTAGCAAACATCATCTTTCTTAATAGCGTTTAAGTATTTCAAAATTTTTCGGGGTGCTACACATTCTATTTTTTCTTTAGTTTTTCCCAACACATATATAGATTTGTCTGCGCAGATAGTGTATACCCTTAAAATTAGATAACAATTAAACTTATAATGTGAATTTAAGGATACGTGATTTCACTTAATACCAATTGAGTTATATAAAAGTTAATGATAGAATTGTACAATAAAGTAAATCAAACCAGTATTTGAGTAGAACTCAACCCTTGAGTTAGAGTATCCTCGAACTGGTTGATGCAAGGACAATAAAAATACAATAAGCTGAAGAATAAGAGTGTGAGCGAGAAAGAAATTTATATTGCTTTTGTCTCAGTTGTCCTCACAAAATGGTTAGAACTCCCCTTTATATAGTAGAGGAATTCTATATATGGTACAATTCTAATTACAGAAGGAAATCCCATGATTAGCTAAACAACCGTTCTTGATTCAATCCATTCCGAGAATTCTGTCATGACCTTCGACTAGTCGCGGATATCTCGCTTTTTCGTTATTACGCTATCTTTGGTATTGCTCGATGCCTGTCTTGTTTGGTCTCGATTGATGTCGGCTTTGATCTTAGCAGGTGTCTCGAATCCCGATCTCGGTATCTTGTCTTCGTGCCTTGACCAGATCCACTTCGGGGTCGACCTTCGATGCAACTTCTTGGTCTCGGTCAGCATAGAAAAATCGGGTGGGCCCAATTTTAATCATATACAGATAGTCCCCTCGTTTTTTGGAGTATAACGACAAGAAACGAACTGAGTCTTCCATTCTCTAGTTTGACCTATTACGACATCATCATTGTCATGACGTCATCCTCGCAAATGACCAAAAATGTCCCATCAGTATGGTTCCCCAAATCATTAATGAGCGCCAAATGATGTTCGGCCACTAGTGCTTTTGAATCGTCGCTATAAATCCCATAAATAGACCCTCTCTTCATTGATTCAAATTTCACTTTCACTTTCTTCTCCAAAGCCTTTACCTCTTTCAAGTTTTTCCATTTTGCAAAATCCTTAGGTTTTGTTATTAACCCCTTCTCAAAACACCAAATCCTACTACTTCCTTCTTTCTTCAAACCCATACAAAAAATGGCAAAATATCAAAACGGTATCACAAAAAGAAACTGCTTTATCTTCTTAACCGGCCGGCGGGAAAACGCCGTCAGAACCCCGTATTGAGGAGTGTATTCCCGGGGGGTGCGTGTTAAACTCTGATTTCAAAACCGATAAGGCTTCGTAAGTTCCAGGTCGATGTGAGCCTGTGTCAAGATATTTATGCTCGATAACAGAGAAGTACCTCGAACGGGTAAAGAAAGACTGTAAATGGGGGGATATAAAGGTGGTGATCCCGACCACCGAAGAGGACATAACTACCTATGTGAAAGGGTTTCTAAGTGTTGACACTTACCATTTCACGCTAGGCCCTCTCGACCCCGTCGTCATTGATTTTTGTCGTCAGTATCAAATAACCCTAGGCCAAATCCATCCTTCTTTTTGGCGAATTGTTGTTCTACTCTGATTCTTCGTGAGCAAAGTCGAGGGGATGTCTTTCACCCTCGACCACCTCATCAGGTTATACAGCCCCCGTCTCTATCAAGGTGGGTTAATAAAACTCCAACGTCGGGCTACCGAAGTGCTGTTCTTGAGCATAGACGAAGACAAGGACCGAGGCTGGATGGGCCAGTTTGTTGAGTGAGCACTTCCGACCTAATCCCGGCTGAGAAGATGCCATTTCCTGAGAGATGGAATATGAACCGTGAGTATAATCCCACTATTAGTTCTTATTTATTGTTTTTCCCCTTTACTTCCTCTTATCGATATCCCTTTCCATGATGTAGAGGTTGCTTGGATGCCTCGTGCAATTCCTAATCTCGAGAGCTGGGTTCGGGACCTGGCCTCGACCTCTTTGTACGCCGAGCGCTCATGGCGCGATTTATCAAAGGGCCGGTGGGAGGCCAAAAATCATGGTAAGCCTCATTTTCATATATCTGACGATTTGATCAAAATGTCTTTCTTATACTTAACTAATTTTCTTGTGTGTAGGCCTTGGCAAAGATACGATCATGAGACCCCCGTCTGACGAGGAAAAGAGTTCGGCCCTGGTTTCAAAATCGGCAAAGGACAACAAGATAAAAAGGGCCTCGGCCTCCGAGGATCAAGAACTTAAGAAAAGGACGGCTCGTAAGCTGAGGAAGAACATCATCCCTCTAACCGAAGAATCTGTTCGGCGTCTAAGGGATGAAGACGAAGAAGAAGAAAATGATGGCTCTGTTCTGGTGGCCCGAGTGAAGGAAACAATCGATGCCCCAAAGATAGCTGGATCGATGGCGGTTGATGAGGCTCCGCCTCGAACTGAGGGGATATCGGAGAAAGACTCGGGCAAAGTTCCCGAGTTATTGGAGATTGAAGATGCTTCCCAACGAAGTGAACAAACGGTGGGTATATCTGAAGGGACCGACCCTGAAGCCCTTCGAACTGAGGAGAACTCCCCAAGTGACTCGCTTGGGGCAATAGTAATCGGAGACTCGCCCACTCTCCCTGCTTTTTCCGAGGGGGCGATTCGGGAAGCCCGAGCTTTGGGAAACCTCGAGATAGACGGAGCTCACGAGGGAGAGGACCCCTTCCACAAATTGTATACAGGTATCGAGGATGCTGCCGGCCAGAGTGACGCATCGGGTCTTTTCTTCGAGGCTCAACGTGCCCTGAATCGGGTAGGTCTCAACACCCTTTGTTGATGTTATATTTTTCAATTTTCTTCCTAACTCTTTCTCTTTTTCATATAGGCTTTAGCTCTTCATCAGGAGGCATTTTCCAAGTCACGGGCAGAGCAGAGCAGAGCCGACGCGAGGCTGACTTCCGAGGGCTTTCGGAGGAGAGAAATGCCCTCAAACTTCTTAGTGGGCAAAAAAAGGAAGAGATCGAGGATCTTCGAGCCGAGCTGGCCAAGGCTCGCCAAGATCAGACAAGCCTGATCGAGCAGGTAATGACAATTTTAAAAACCCATGGGCTCGATTCAGGAAAGGTGGCTAATGTTTTAGTCTCTCAGCAGCAGCAGAAGATTGAGAGGATCAAGCAGTTCCACGAGGAGATCAGTACGATAAGGGCGGAGTCTTTGGGGTTGAAAGAAGGTATGGACTACCTTGCTGCAGAAAAAGAAATTATTCGGTCCCAATTATCATCGGCCAAAAGTCGGCTCCGAGGCCTAAAGGAGAATAGTTCAGCTCAGGCAAAGAAGATAGGGGATCTCGAGGCTCAGTTGGCTTCCGAACTAGCGAGGGCCAAAACTGAAGCCGAAAAAGCAAAGGCCGAGGTTGAGGTGATCGTGGCCGTCTACCGGGATAATGCTGAAGCTGCTCAGGGCCAAGCGAAAGAGGCTACCGAGACCACTCACATTCGAGCATATTGGATTGCCGAACTTACCAAATGCCAATCTCAGAGGGAAACCCTCGAGGAGATCCACGCTCGAGGTTTCGATCTTACCAATGAGATAGTAATGGCTAGAGAGTATGAAGCTGGAGCTGGAGTGCTGGCCACTTCCGATGATGATGATGATGATGGCAGCAAGAGCGGGTCCGAGAATGGGGAGGACCTCGATGAAGAAGAAGCTGCCCCCGGAAGAGATCAAGAACCTTAGGATTTTTCACTTTTTGAACTTTTGTATAGGATCCTGATCGGACCTTGTAAATATATATAAAGATCTCTTTCCTTTCTGACTTGTCTTTATTTCATTTATGCCTTGTGAAAGTTTTGTTCATAAGTTCGAGGCTTAGGCAATTTGATCGAAGCCGAACTAGTGTAGTTTTTATAATTGAGTGAGTACTTGCTCGAACTCGGAGTAGGGTGACCCTTAGGTTTTAATCGAGTGAGAATGATTTCTTCGAACTTAAAAATAAACTGGCCCTTTAGGCTCTTAAATTAGGCCGATACGGCCATAGCAAAGCGAATGGCTTTCTCCCCTTTTTTGGCTTGAAAAGTTTATCGTTTAATCATATAAATTTTATTGTGCCTTAACACGAAATAAAGGATTTGCTCAAGAGTTCGAACAGTTCCGTACCCATTAGGATCTTCAAGGGTCGATATTATCGAGACCCTTTGCTTCGTAATGCCTTAGCATAAAATAAAGAATTTGTTCAAGAGTTCAAACGCCTTTGTATCCATTAGGGTTTTCGAGGGTTGATATTATCAAGACCCTTAGAAAATTTGCCGAGGGTAGCCTTTTTTAACCGGTTTGTGAAAATATTTGAAGGCCTGTTTAATAACAAAAATCGGACGTCTCTGAACCGTGTTGATTTGGCCGTAGCCTTTAACATGGGATTTGCCTTTTGGGCTTGTTCCCCTGTTATACTTCGAATTTGTTCAAAGTATCAGTCCCCGATTGGGGTGGCCGTGGCCTGTAAAATCGAGGATTTCCTTTTTAAGGTCTTACGATCTCGAGGTTTAGTAATTCGACCGTGTCAATATTTTTTGGACGGCAGTCCCCGAGTATCGGGTAAATTGTTTGAACTTTAGTTATGATCGGCCCTTAAGCCGGTTTCCACCATAGATCATAAGTATAAAATTGTAAAGTATAAATTTTTCTAAAACATGGAGAATCTGGTAAGGAAAAATACTTCTTCCAATAAATTATACATACGTACATGTTTTGCCATTAGGGCTCGAGTAATCTATACAGACACGGTTCATTTGACCGTTTGGTCCTCCATAAAATTTACCTATCGAGACCCTATCGACACGAAGTATTTTTCTTGAAACTATCCGAGGGTGATGCCCCCCAGTATTCGAGGTTGATCGAAAAGGATCCTCGGATACTATTGAATTGCTCTAAGTTAGCACGAACAATGGTTTCCTCGTTAAAAACCTCGCCAGAATAACCCATTTGGGATAAAAACCAGTCTAAGGGAAAAAGAGTGCAACGCGTGCTTTCAGACCTAAGGACTGCGTTTGAAGAATCCTTCGATGTCATCGATTAAACACCTGCAAACGATTAGTATAAAATATAAATGAAAATGGAGAAGGTTGTACCTTAGTAGTAATATTCTTTGAGGAGTGATATATCCCAATTGTTTGGTAATTGTTCGCCGTTTGCCATGCCAAGTTTGTAGGATCCTTTTCCGATGATATCGAGGACCTGGTATGGTCCCTCCGAGTTTGGACCAAGTTTTCCTTTGTTTGGGTCTCGAGTATTGAGGGTGACCTTCCTCAGAACCAAGTCCCCGATTTTGAAGTCTCGAATATTGGCTCTTCGATTGTAGTACATTTCGATCCGCAGTTTCTGTGCGGCCATTCGAACGAGGGGGGCCTCCGGATTTTTATCTAGCAATTCGAGGCTTGTATTCATAGCCTCGTGATTTGACTCTTCCGTTGCATATCAAAACCTGACACTAGGTTCCCCGACTTCAATCGGATCAGATCTTCAGCGTCGTATACTGAAGAAAATGGTGTTGCCTCCGTACTGGATTTTAACGTCGTTCGATATGCCCAAAGGACTTCGGGCAATATTTCTCTCCATTTTCCCTTGGAGTCGTTCAATCTCTTCTTTAGATTTTGAATGATGTTTTTATTTGTTGATTCGGCATGTCCGTTCCCACTAGGATGATATGGTGTCGGCATGACTCTCTTTATTTTGTAATCTTTGAGAAAATTTTTCACTTTGCCGTCGAAGAATTGCTTTCCATTGTCGCATACGATCTCGACAGGCATCCCGAATCGGCATATAATGTGGTCCCAGATGAAATCTATGACATCTTTCTCTCTAATTTTCTCAAAAGCATGTGCTTCAACCCAGTTAGAGAAATAGTCAGTCATAAACAAAATAAATTTAGCTTTACCTGGGGCCGATAGCAGAGGGCCGACAATATCTATTCCCCACTTCATGAGTGACCATGTGGATAAGACTGAGTGGAGTTTCTCTCCGGGTTGGTGAATCATTGGCGCATACCTTTGACATTTGTCGCACTTTCGAACAAACTCTTTTCTATCTTTTTCCATATCGGCCCAATAATATCCTGCTCTGATGACTTTGTGAACCAACGATTCGGCACCGGAATGATTTCCACAAGTGCCCTCATGAATTTCTCGTAGGACGTAGTCGGTACCTCCTGGTCCCAAACATATTGCAAAATGGTCCATCGAACATCCTTTTATACAATGTTCCATCTTCGGCCAATGTGAATCGTGCGGCCTTCTTCGTAGAGTCCTCGATTTCCTAGGGTCCGATGGAAGCTTCCCGTTCTTTAGATATTCGATATATTTGTTCCTCCAATCCCAAGTGAGACTTGTGGAATTGATTTCGGCGTGGCCTTCTTCGATTACTGACCTTGAAAGTTGTATGACAGTCCCCGAGCTAATCTCGCCATCTTTGAATGATGACCCCAAATTTGCAAGGGCATCGGCCTCACTGCTTTCTTCTCGAGGCACATGCTGTAAAGTCCATTCTTTAAATCGATGTAGAGTCACCTATAATTTATCCAAGTACCTCTGCATTCGATCTTCTCGGACCTCGAATGTTCTGTTGACTTGGTTTACCACGAGCAGGGAGTCACATTTGGCCTCGATAACTTCTGATCCCAAACCTTTAGCTAGCTCAAGACCTGCAATCATGGCCTCATACTCGGCCTTGTTGTTAGTTAACTTAGAAGTTTTGATAGCTTGACTAATTGTATTACCCGTGGGCGGCTTCAAAACGGTGCCTAGCCCGGACCCCTTCGCGTTTGAAGCACCGTCTGTGAAGAGGGTCCACACCCCCAATGATGTACCCGACTTTATTAATAGTTCCTTTTCGACCTCGGGTACGAGGGCTAGCATAAATGCAGCCATGAAGTCCGCTAAGATTTGAGACTTGATAGCCATTCGGGGTCGATACTTGATATCGTACCCACTGATATCGACGACCCAGTTGGCCAATCGGCCCGAAAGTTGGGGCTTATGCAAAATATTACGAAGAGGATAGGTAGTCACCACGCAAATCGAGTGACATTGAAAATATGGTTTTAATTTCCTAGAGGCGCTTATTAGGGCGAGCGCTAATTTTTCTAAGTGTGGGTACGGGTTTTGGCCCCACCTAGAGTTTGACTAACATAATAAACTGGAAATTGCGTACCTTGTTCTTCTCGAACTAGAAACCCACTTATCGTGATTTTTGAGACCACTAAGTAAAAGTATAGTTGCTCATCCGCTTTCGGAGATGAAGCGGTGGCGGGCTCGAGAGATACCGCTTTAGTTCTTCCAATGCTTATTGGCATTCCGGGGTCCATGCAAAATTATTGTTCGTTTTGAGTAGTGAGAAGAACCTGTGACTTCTATATGAAGACCTCGAGATGAATAGGCCTAGGGCAGCTATGCGCCCTATTAATCTTTGTACGGCCTTAACATTATCCACGATTGTGATGTCTTCGATCGCCTTGATCTTGTCGGGATTGATTTCGATACCCCGATTTGATACCATAAAGCCGAGGAATTTGCCCGAGCCGACCCCGAATGCACATTTCTCCGGGTTAAGTTTCATGTTGTATTTCCTTAGTATATCGAAGGTCCCCTGCAAATGTGTCAAATGGTCCTCTGCTCGCAGGGACTTAACTAGCATATTGTCAATATAAACTTTCATTGACTTACCTATTTGTTATTCGAACATTCGATTTACTAAGCGTTGATAAGTGGCACCAGCATTTTTTAGTCCAAACGGCATTACATTATAACAATAGGTGCCATATTTAGTGATGAACGAAGTCTTTTCCTGATCTTCCGGGTTTATTTTTATTTAATTGTACCCGGAGTAGGCATCGAGAAAACTAAGGATCTCGTGGCCGGCCGTGGCATCGATCATGCGATCGATATTCGGTTGAGGAAAAGAGTCTTTAGGACATGCTTTGTTTAAATATTTATAGCCTACGCACATTCTACGTTTATTTCCCTTTTTAGAGACTACGACTACATTTTCTAACCATTCGGGGTATTTTACCTCTCGAATGGATCCTATTTTGAGAAGTTTGGTTACCTCGTCCTTGATGAAAGCATGTTTTACCTCGGATTGGGTCTTCTCTTTTATTTTACCGGGCAGAACTTAGGGTCCAAGCTTAGTCGATGTGCAGCGATTTCAGGCGGGATCCCTGTCATATCTAAATGGGACCAAGCAAAACAATCCAAATTATTGATAAGAAATTTGATGAGTTTTTCCCTGAGCTCGGGGGTTAACCTCGTACCCTGGTATGCCTTTCGATCGGGTAGATGCTCGATCAGTATGACTTGCTCCAGTTCCTCGACCATCGATTTGGTGGCGTCGGAATCCTCGGGGATTATGAAGGATAGAGGGATCAAAAATTCATCGTCTTCGTTCGTTCCCTACTTCTCCGATTGAGTCGAGGCTGGTAGTTGTGGTTGCTATTTAGCTTCCTTTTTTCC